TCATAATGTCACTACAGCGGTAAGCCGATTGATAGCCTTATATGAATCTGTCTTGCATCAACAAAACTGATTTCTTATTAGTAACGGCCAGTTACATCCCCTCTGACTGGCGATTTGAGTCTTCACATGCACAGAACTCTCTTTGGACTCAGAGGTAGTGTATTTGATGCGATTTAAATGACAATTTGTGATCCAAGAAAAAATGTGTCTCAACCAATCATTTGAAAATTATAAAAAATATTCAGAGAGCATCTTCGCAGTGGAGGATGTCATTGAAGATGACAAGTTTGATAACAGTTTGGACCGTATTGACTCCATTATAGAGTTTTAATATGGCAAATACAAAGTATTTCAGGAGTCAGTCACAAATCCCTTTAATTCAGTCACTCCTGTGTTAAAAGAAACTGGTAAAAGTTCTCAAATACAAGTAAAGTATAGTATGGACTTTGTCCTGTAACTAGACCATTTTGATGCATTTATACAAAACTATTTTCTGCATTTGGCTATATCCATTTCATCCTCTTCAAACAGCAGCTCTCATACACATCCCATTATTTCAGCGTTTGCTTTGTTTGTTTGTTCAGTGTATTGTGGATATTCTAGCAAATATGTGTTAATGCTGTTAATATACTTGTATTATGCAAAAGGCAACATAGGTGCAATTATAACCTCCAAAACTTTACATGGTCTTTTTTTCATGTGATTATTAACTGATCATTTGCATTATACATTTATTGATAAATCACCCAGTACAATTACTTTCAATGTTCTAAAGCAGTGGTTCTTAAACTTTTTTTCAACAAGTACCACCTCTGAAAAATAATGAGCAGTATTGAAATACAGTAGCACAGTAGACAAGTTTAAGCTACAGCTTTGCAGTTCAAAAACATGACAGATTAATTACTATTATTAAGAATATTTATTAATGTCAGACACTTTAAACAATATAAATAGTCTGAACGTTAGGACTGTATTGTGCTTGTATGTAAACAAACCAGCAAACAAACTAAAAACATGAACATTGTAATTAAAATGTGCTTTTAAAAGTAAAAATGGTAGGTTACGGTTTTTAAAAAGTAAAAAGAAAATTGCTGTACTTAAATGTAAAGTACTAACATATAGTAGTCTATTCATCAACACCTGAATGTTGCCTGGACCTCAATAATATACGCTATATGTCATCATATTTATATAAAAATCATTTTTGATAAATTTTGAAATATATATATAGCATGTGCAAATGACTTATTTGATTCCTCCGCGTAGCACTAGAAGGAAAGCTTTCGTACCACTAGTGGTACACGTACCACAGTTTGAGAACCACTGCCCTACAGAATTTCACAGTATTTAAATTAGAGATTTTGATGGTTGTTTCGGGTTTTGTGACAGTATCCAATTTTTTAGATTACCTGCTTACATTTATCATCATTTAAAGGTGCCTGGTATCTGTTTGTCTGCATTGACTTTGCACACGGCAAAAAAGCGCAATGACCAGGGAAAAAAGGCGGGCGCTGACTTGACAGCTTATATTTAAAAAAGTGCTCTATTCTCCATTCCTGTATTTATTCTGTTAGCAGGGTTTCATTTTTTAATTTTCTTTTTGACAAGTTGTTTTCCTATAGTTTATGACAGAAAAGCTCTCATTTGACCATATGTCTATATATGGACATCTATCATATATCTAGGCCATTTTAATCAAGTAGGCATCTTAACGTAATGTCCATGGCTTGATTTGTGCATGTGATGTATGATGCACAAATGATATTGGTTACATAGTGGATGTTGCGCTCTTTCTCTCTCGTGAACATGCTTAAATATATGCTTAAATACTTGTGCCACATGACAATATAAAAGCGTTTTTAGTTCTTGTTTGGTCACTTGAACCCTTAAAAGAAAACGTCTGCTTTTCTGTACAGCAAAAATGTGTTTGGTCATGATGAAGGTGGGTGTGTTGAGTGTCATGCAAGTCAGTATGTTTGCGCGCTTAGAGATATGTGTAGGTGCAGAGAGTATAGTGTCAAACAGCTACGTGGACTGTCCTGTCGCAAAATGCGGCTAGAAGTCCTACAGGATGGTAATTAATAGTTTAATTAACTTTTTATTTTGACGAGATATCTCGTCGCAATTTAATCTCGCGAGATCTCGAGACACCTTTAATATTAAGAGTTAAATTTTTAGCTATCTCGCAGCCAACCTGCAGGATCACTTAGGCCCACTATTGGGCCACGGCCCACCGGTTGAGAATCCCTACTCTATTGGATTGAGTTCTGGTGACTGTGAAGGCCATTTAAGTACACTGTGATGTTCAATAAAAAAAAAAAGTCTGAGATGATTCACGCTTTGACATGGTGCAATATCCTGCTCGAAGTAGCCATCAGAAGATGGGTACACTGGATGGACAAATTCTGACCCTACCATCTAAATGTTACAGCAGAAATCGAGACTCATCAGACCAGACAATATTTTTCCAATCTTCTATTGTCCTATTTTGTTGAGCCTGTACGAATTGTAGCCTCAGTTTCCTGTTCTTAGCTGACAGGAGTGGCACCCGGTGTGGTCTTCTGTTGCTGTAGCCCATCTGCCTCAGGTTCAACATGTTGTGCATTCAGAGCTCGAAGAAGGTCTGGCCACAAGGCATTTGCACCCAAAGAACTGCCGCTTACTCGATATTTTCTCTTTTTCAGACCATTCTCTGTAAAATTTCCCTAGAGATGGTTGAGCGTGAAAATCCCAGTAGGTCAGCAGTTTCTGAAATACTCAGACCGGTAACCATTCTACATTCAAAGTCAAATAAAGCAGATCGTCTCGTCCATGCCTAAACGCATTGAGCTGCTGCCATGTGATCGGCTGACTAGAAATTTGCGTAAACGAGCAGTTGGACTGGTGTACCTAATAAAGTGGTCAGTGAGTGTACTGTAGTGTTTTTGAATCATAGTAAAATAGTAATTGCATGAATTAAAATAGTTTTCTACCAATATAGCGTATATTATAATACAATTACCCTTTTAGTGTAGTAAAAACTAATTCAGTTCACTTCAGTAAACTACATTTTAATACACTTTACTATAATAAAGTTGGCAGTTCATTCTGCTGTGGCGACCCCAGATTAATAAAGGGACTAAGCTGAAAAGAAAATTAATGAATAATAAATTTGAAAAAACACTAAAGTATTTACTACACATTTGATTTACTGTAGTTTTGTTTTCATGTGCGGGGTTTGCAAGCTTTTTTTTATTTCATCACCCAACTCTATTACAAAACAAGACGTGCAAACAGTTTCTGTATTGATGAACAATTTATCCTCAAAAGCTTATTACAGTAAATTAAATTCACTTTGATTCTGACAATTGCAATTATCTCTCAAAATTGGTGTGTAATATTGGCACAATAATCAGCCAAAATGACATTTCAATTGTTATTTAGCCATCAACTAATATACAAGAACACCACAAAGCGAATGTGTTTAACAGACTGCCTTTAAAGGAGTTTAACGGAGCACTGAGGTTGCTATTCGCCTCATAGTCTTCCTGTTTACCTTGATAACTGTCATTCTGTGGTGTAAACGTGTGAACATGTTTGTCTATCAGTGAACACGCATCAAGTCTGTGCCCGTCTGAGACAGTTTGTTCACACTCATAACAAGTGCATGGTTTAAAGATCTCCACTAAAGAAACGGCAAACGCTTTGAAGTGCTAGCATTATTTAAAGTAGGAAACTGAGAAACCTCAAGCGTGGACTGAAACTTCTTTCTCATTGTTTCGTGAATGAGTAGTCGTTGAAACCTCAGCATGATGATGAGTCGACAGTTTAGCGTAGCTTCCTACACGGTGACCTCCATTCTGTACCGTTTCTTTATGACTAAATATGATAACCGACAAACTGACAGTTGTAAGCAAATTTCAGTTTAGATGTAGCAGTTAGATGTAGTGACGAGGCTAAAATGTTTTGGTTGCTAGTTTACAATGAGAATTAGCATGTGAATCCAACTGAACTACTTAAAGGCATAGTTAACCCCGAAATGAAATGTCACCATTTACTCTTCCTTTCTTTCTTCTGTTGAACACGAAATAGGATATTTTGAAGAATGCTAGTTAATGGTTCTTATTGACTTCATTTTTTCTTTACTATGGAAGTCAGTAGGTGCCATCAACCAACATTTCCTTTTAAAAATATATTTTGTGTTCAACAGACTCTGATTTAAAACCACATGAGGGAGAGTAAATGATAAAACGACTGTAATTTTAGAGTGAACTTTCCTTTTTAATCTAGCAGTTTTTTCATAGTATGACTAAGTATGGTAACTGTCAAGCTGACAGATGTGGGAGGTTGGTTTTAGTGATGGAGCTGAAAGTGCTGTTGGTTTTTCATTTAATCAAACTGTTACTTTTAATCTAGTTTAATAACATTTTATTGATGTTAATGTGACCAATACATTGTATTATTTTTAAACTTTGGTTCTAACGTTTTTTGCATTTGGCAAATCTATTTAAATGTAATAATTTTAAACACTTGTAAACCACTACAGTGTAAGTAAAGTCAAGTAAAAATGTATTTGTATAGCACCTTATACAGATCAATAGTCACAAAGTGATTTGCTGTAAAAGAAAACATATATTAAAACAGGTTAAAATCCAAGAAGCCTAAAAATAACACCAAATGTAAAACCAACTCACCATACAGTTAATTAAAAGCTTGTCCAAAAAGATGCGTCTTTAAAATGTATGACCAGTGCAATGTATGATGCTAAAACTTTGATTTAAACATTTGCAATATTTACATTTGATCATTTAAAACACACATTGCCACAGCTAAACGAACAGAGGAAAGGATATCATCTGTGACCATAATAAATGGGTGTGAGATTAATTTTTAAGTAATGATTTAAACATGGTCGAGGCAAGATGCTTGTGGGTTATTCAAAGCTTGACTATTTTGGGGTTTGGGTTAAGGAACACAAAGTACACACACACACACACACACACACACACACAGAGCAGCTGAGTATGACCCACAGTCTAACAGCTTCAACCACACACACACACACACACTGGCAGATACATTCAAGTAGTTTTTTGCTCCACTTGCCTCCTTTAATGACTTCAGCATGGGTCTGCCAATATTTTTTATTTTAGGAATGGCTTCAAATCTTGCTCTCAGCATGAAAATGCAAGGTAGGTTCATCTCAGGTTTAATCAGCTTGGGCTTAATTTGAGCAGCTTGTGTCAGATGATGCTGATTTGTGTTTTCTGCCCTTTTTTAATGGCTTTCATGTTTTCTGGTTAGCTTGGTGTGTAAACAGACACATTCTGGAGGAGTAATGTAAATTATAAGCACATGGGTGACACAAGCTGTGCATTATTTTTGGGGTAGTGTCAAAATGCTTATACTGGGGGAGGGAAGGACAGTTTTTTGAATAGCTGTAGTTGTTATTGTGAAACAGTTTTGAGTTTGTGAAGGTTATCATATTGCTTATTGAGAAAAGCTGCATACAATGAACATTCTTCACAAATTCAGCTGTAGGCATTTCCACTTTCGTTTGAGCAGACATCCTTTTTTGTAGAGAAACATTAAACCACGTATCCTTTTTATTCTGAAACCAATGAAATGCTGAGACATGGAAATTATAAATTCTTTATTTCTGTATTTGTTTGTTAGTACTGAAAAATATTGATCCCTAGAAACGATTTTGTAAAAGACATTTTAACCCTTAGAAAGAAAAATATAGAAATACAGTAGAAATGCAAATTATTATTATTAAGATGTATTATTCTTTGTTATTTATTTACATATATGTTTGCATGCACACACACACACACACACACACACACACGCACACACACACACACACACACACACACACACACACACACACACATATATATATATATATATATATATATATATATATATATATATATATATATATATATATATATATTTGTGTGTGTGTGTGTGTGTATTATATTATAATGGTTATGTATCAATATATGATATATATGTTAAGGTAATTTATTGTATATGCAATTCATTTACATATATTTGCATACATGAATTGTTACTTATTTATAGATATGTTTTTGTGATGTGTGTACCAGTCTTGTTTCGAAAGCGTACCCAATCAGTGCAGCGATGACGCTTTCAGCAGCTGTGATTTTTAAACATGGAGTTGTTTTTGCATGTAATCAGTTAAATGACTATGAATCAGGTACTGTGGTATGTGTGTGGTTTACAGCAGCACGCAACATGTGTGTAGAAGGCCTGTGTAGGAAAGTCTTGTCACATGATTGAAAACCCAAAACATCTGCTTCCTCTCGTGCGAAGCAACTCAATTTCCACCACAGACTCTGTGCAGCCTGTGTGTGATGTCACTTTTGTTGCTTTGTGCAGATTCAATCAACATTTTTAAGATGTACTAAATGTATACAAAGCATTTTAAGGCAGTTTTAGATTTGTTTTAACATTGATAAGTTTTGAATGGTCCCCATAAAATAATGTCTTCACTTGTTAACTTCTTGTCATTTCAATCAAATCTTTGTATTATGTTCTGATTGCTGTTTTCCATAACAATGAGTGGGTACAGGATGCAAAAAAGAAATGCCCTATGAAGACAATATGACATAAATTTTACCCACCTCTTACAGTATGACTTACAGTTTATCACATAAATGTCTGACATTTAAAGGTGCTTTGGTTATTTTGGAGCTTGACCGGCCCAATCTTTTATAATATGGAAAAGGGCAGCCAGGACATTCTTTAAAATATCTAATTTTACCTTGTAAAAGAAATAAGGTAATTCAGGTTTAAAATGTTATTAGGGTGAGTAAAATATTAAAATTTTTGCAGATGAACTGTTCTTTATGATTTAAAAGTTCAAATCAACGAGGCCTACTGGCATATTACTGTACGATCAGGCCTATGAACTATACCTGCCAACATTGGTCTCTGAAAATCTGGGAGATGGGGTTGGGGGGGAATGTATCTGTGTCCAGTTGGAGGATGTATCTGTGTCCAGTATGCTGTGCCTGGTCTGTTCTACTCACCTACTTCAGCGTTCCAGGGGTGTTATATGTAATAAACACATGAGGACTGGGGGAAGGGGGTGAAATCCCAGGAGAAATGACAAAATGGGAGATGGGTCTGAAATATAGGAGACTCCCGGGAAAAACAGAAGTGTTGGCAGGTATGCTATGAGCAGTCAGTTTCAAACAGAACTCTGGCCTGACTGAAAAACAAACAAGTTTACAAAAAGATTGAATGTAATATTTAGTGATAATATACCATAACAAGCAATTTACGACTGTTTTATAAAATGTCAGCTTTTTTCGACCTGTTCACAAAAATCACGGTTCGGTTCGATACGATACAGTGGTGTCACGTTTCAGTACGTTTTCAATACCGCAAAAAAAGAAAAAAAGCCAGAGGATTTCTCTGATTTTAATTTTTTAAATGTATTTAAACTAACATCATAAAAGTATGATCTTGTTTTTTTCTTTTACTTTAAACAGTGATAGAGCTATACTTCCGGGGTTTCTGCTTAGCAGCAAATAAAACAAATCCTTCTTTATACTTAAAACCAAAAAGCTGCTTATGAAAAAATGAATATAATATTGTAGCAGTTAAACAAATAAAAATAAAAGAACAATTTAGTTTTTATATGGAACTCGGTTTCAATCAGTTTTAAGTTTTTTGTTTTTTTTCAGAAAGATGAGTGTCCACCTTTTCCTTAGACATCACAGATCTGCTTGATTTGACTTTAACCTGTCATTTCAATGGAACTAAAAGCATGAATTATCTGACTGACATAAGCTTATGAAGGAATAATGTAACGTGGCTCTTACATTTAACATTTTCTTAAAACCCGACATTTTCACAACTGATTAAGATCTCTCAGATGTTTTTTTTTTTCAACACTCTCTTGCTAGCGGTGATGGTGCATGACGTATCTGAAGATGGGGGGGTTCCAGAAGAAGATTATCATTCATTTGCGGGCATCCAGGAGTCTCCAGACGCTTGTCTTGTCTCCCAAAGGATGTCTGGGATTGCATTAATGTTACTAGCCATTTTGGGAGCTAGTGTAGTGCGTGCCTGGAGTAGTGTTGGTTGGCTCTTTTGTGTCAGGGGTCCAGGGTTGCCAGGGTAACGGGGGCGGAGCCAGCACGAGCAGCTAGGTTGACACCGACCTATGCCACGTCATTTGGGATGCCATATTGAGCGATGTTGCACCGAAAACATTATATTTTGTACTTATACGCTTTTATCTTTTTAGATGTTAGTCTAAATTGAATCGTTCGGTTTGCAATGCGAACCGAACCAAAAGTTTCGTACTGAACGATTCAATATGAATACGCGTATGGTTACACCCTTTATATATATATATATATATATATATATATATATATATATATATATATATATATATATATATATATATATATGTATGTATATATATATATATATATATATATATATATGTATATGTATATATATATATATATATCAATCAATCAATCAATCAAGCCTTTATTTGTCACTACACTTTCGTATAGCGAAAATTGGACCCCCCAGACCATACACAAAACATCACAAACAACTTTTCAGGGGAGACAGATCTTAGGAGGTAGCATTTAGAAACGAAGAAAGATACATTTGGACAGTTAGGCTAAAAAACACCCCCTCAGCTTGCCCTTGATTAGGACAAAGTGAGAAAAGGGAGAAAAACAGCCCTATCTTAGCATAAGCACACCGGCAAGACACAACATAGACAGAGGGGATGGGAACAGGGGTAATGGAAAACAATCCGTTGAGTGCGGGCAGCCAACTGGCCCAGCAGCCATTTCCGGCGCATGTCACAGCCCCGCCCACGCCCCACGTGGGTAAAAGCACACGAAGGCGTTTGGATGGGGATCGGTGGTGAATGTTTATCTGTAGATATGTTTGTGTGTGTGTGAGCCTGCATAGTCCAGAGTCCCGCAGGTGTCCTTGACAGGGGCAGGAATTTCAGAGCGTCTGCTTATCTTGCTTATCCCAGGGAGTTGTTTACTTCCAGCCGAGGCCGTCTGGCAGGAGTAAGAGGAGAGCCGAAAAAAAGACAGTAAGATACTTCCACTTTAGGTCAATATCTGCCAATTTCACAGATATTTAATGTCCATCACTCGTCTCCCGATCTGGCCAAAATTTGTTGCAGAGCCGCTAGCTTCACCTCGATGGTTTCCAGTTTGCGGTCAAGGACCATAGTCTGATTCGCGACCCTACCCATCAGTGTTTCAATCAAGCCGGCCAGCCTAGTGGGGTTTTGAGCTGCGCTGACCGCTTTTATCAGTTTCCGATATCCCAGGGCCCCGCATAAGCCCATCAGCAGAAACCCTGTTATCAAAGTTCCGAATAGGTAGATATCTTCAATATCCTCCAGAGACAGAGCAGCTAGACAGAGGACTCTCCACTTCTCCCACCCGTCCATCACATATCCAGCTGCGAGCGTCCCCGCAGGACAGCTGGGTTCCCCGGAGCCCAGCGATCTCGTTGAGAAGATGGTGTCAATTGCATTCAGAGACCAGTTGATCAAATCCATAATTCCTTTTTCGTTTGGAAAGCAGGACAAGGAGAGCCTCAGAGATAGAATAAGACGAGACAAGACGTGCTAGCAAGGAGAGATATGGGACGGAGAGGGAAAAAGAGCGACCGCCTTCGCCGAGAGCCAAAGAAGAATATATATATATATATACGCACACACACACAGTATGTCACAAAAGTGAGTACACCCATCCTACTTCTGCAAATTTTTATTTATAACTTTTCATAGGACAACACTGCAGAAATGATTATTTGACAGAATGAAAAGTAGTCAGTGTAAAGTGTGCATAGCAGTGTAAATTTATTGTCCTCTCAAAATAACTACAAATACAGCCAATAATAGCTGAACCCCTGGCAACAAAAGTGAGTACTCTTTTGGGCATGGAGTTGACCAGAGCTTCACAAGTTGCCACTGAAATTCTCTTCCACTCCTCCATCACAACATTGTGGAGGTGGTGGACATTTGACACCTTGTGCTCCTCCACCTTCCTTTTCAGGTTGCCCCAGAGGTGTTCTATGGGGTTTATGTCTGGATACATGCTTGGCCAGTCCATCACCTTTACCCTCAGCCTCTTTAGCAAGTCAGTGGTCATCCTGGAGGTGTGTTTGGGGTCATTATCATACTGGAACACTGCTCTGCAGTCCAGTTTCCTGAGAGAACTGCTTCAGTATGTCAAAGTACATGTTAGAATTCATGTTTCCCTCAATGAAATGTAGCTCCCCAATGCCAGCAGCACTCATGCAGCCCCAGAACATGACACTCCCACCACCATGTTTAATGGTAGGCAAGACACTCTTTGTAATCCCCACCTGGTTGCTTCCACACACACATGAAACCATCTGAACCAAATGGGTTTATCTTGGTCTTAGACCACAGGACATGGTTCCAGTAATCCTGGTCCTTAGTTTGCATGTCTGCAGCAAATTGTTTGCAAGCTTTCTTGCATCGTCTTTAGAAGAGGTTTCCTTCTATGACCACAACCATGCAAACTAATTTGATGCAGTGTGTGGCATATGGTCTGAGCACTGACAGGTTGACCTCCCATATCTTCAATCTCTGCAGCAATGCTGGAAGTATTCATCCGTCTGTTTTTCAAAGACAATCTTTGGATGTGACGCTGAGAACGTGCACTCCGCTTCTTTGACCGGCCATAGCGAGGCCTCTTCTGAGAAGAACCTGTCCTCTTAAAGCGCTGAATGGTCTGGGCCACGGAGCTGCAGCACAGTTTCAGAGTGTTGCCTATCTTCTCATAGCCTAGGCCGTCTTTATGTAAGGCAACAATTTGTTTTTCAGGTCTTCTAAGAGTTGTTTGCCTTGAGGTGACATGTTTTTTGACATGCAACTTTCAGTGGCCTGGTTGAGAGAGTGGAAAAGCTTTTATAACAAATTTAACTTACCTGCTATCTGTGGATACCCGAGAAAGTGTAACACTTATGAATTACATGACACAGGAAGAAAAATGACTAATTGTGCTCAATTTTGAAATTTTCACTTAGGGGTGTACTCACTTTTGTTGCCAGGGGTTCAGCTATTATTGGCTGTATATGTAGTTATTTTGAGAGGACAATAAATTTACACTGCTATACACACTTTACACTGCAAATAATACACTACTTTTAACACGGGCTCTCCTGTATTCAAAACTCTGCATGCTGCGTTCATTTCCTTAAGGAACTCTTGCATTTGCTAGATTATTGGTTCACATATTTTTTTATCATACAGGTACTACTGGAACACAACTTTATATCACCAGCACACAAGATGCACATCGTTTCAATAAACATTCTTTAACAATCATTAAGTATTGTTGTTACAGGTTACATTATGGTTTATACATAAGTGTAAAGGGAACAGTACAAACAGTGGATCCACCAAACTAGTTTAACTTATTCCATCATAATGTAGGTTTACTGTAATCTTTTTCTCACTGCACGTACCCATATAGAAAGCTGATATATGACATGATATATGGCAACATATGCAAATTACAACTGGATTCCACATACTGTATATAAAATGTCATAATAGTCTATAATTTGTCAAAATAGTGCAAAAAAATTTTCAACCACGTGTGTGTGTGTGTGTGTGTGTGTGTGTGTGTGTGTGTGTGCGTGCGTGCGTGCGTGCGTGCGTGCGTGTGTGTGTGTGTGTGTGTGTGTGTGTGTTTATATACAGCCATATGGACACCTAAATTATATTTAAATAAATTATAGGAAATGTATTTGTAGGGGTAAAATATATGACTAAATAGATAATAGTGGTACATGGAACAAGGAAACCGTAAATGTGGAATAAGGATGAACAAAGATGAAATCTATAGATAACAGTCCAGTTGGGTCATCATCTGTGGTAACTGATGTCATTTGATCTATCATGACACTTTTTTCATCTAAACATGTTTTATTGTACATCAGTTTCCATGCATCAAGAGCAATGCAACAGTTGTCATTTTGAGTGCTTGTATCAGTTGATAATAACATCATGTTAAGTAAATGAATACTCAACTTATTTCAAATGTAATGTTTAAGAAGCATTTTGAAATGGGATTAATTTGATGTTTAATTTTGTTTTATTGAAAAGGTGATCTTAGTTCAATGAACAAAGAACCTTTGACTTGTGTGTAAATGCTTGTATCCAAGCATTTGAAAAAAAAAAGAAAGAGTTAAGAGTTTTGGAAAAATTTAGAATTTTGGCAAAGGTTGTGAATTTGGTGGCTAGAGTATAGAAAATTGAACCCAGAGTTCTCAAATTTGTGGCAAAACAATTGTAAAAAAAAACTGTAATTGCCTTTAACATGAAATTACTAAATATAAACATAGGTTGAGAGAAAATATCAGATGGCACTCTTTAAATATTTGTGTAATATACATTATTTTGTTTTTATAGATGAGGAGCCCAGAGACTTGGTTCTCAAACAAACGGTTATAGGGATATTGGGAGAGGAGGTCTACCTGCATTGTTTATACACCGGACAAAGTCAAATCCTGTTCTCCTCCTGGAACCGTCTGGATTCAACAATGAAAGCAAAGAAAATGGCAGGCTACAACTACATGAAAGGTTTTAAACGAGAAAACTTCGACATTCCAACATCAGCTACTAACCTCACTGTGAGGATAGACGTGGCAAGTCTTGATCAAGAAGGAGAATACACCTGTGTTTTTAACTCTGAAGAAGATGAAACCAAGGGAGCAATGACTCTCAGTGTTATTGGTGAGTATGAATAGAGACTGAATATATATACATACATGAAATTGGAAAATTTACATTTTTGATTAGCCTCAAATGTTGACTACTATAGTCTTAAATATAGAAATAATTAAATACAATTAATATTTATTAATTCTTTGTTTACAATTTCCTTTATAATTTCTAATGGCCAATTCTCTTGAAATCATACTCGCAGACCCTAAAAAATATTTCACTTTTTAGGGTTCAATTAGTTTTGAACTTAGTTTTTTGTTTAATCACAATCCTGTGGTGTGATTATTGCACATTGCGATATCGATGCTAAAATGACATTGTGCAGCGCTAATGTACATTTATATTAAATGTTCCTCTCTATATTATTTTCCTTCATGCAATGCCATATTTTTGACGCTAAATAGCATTCCTAAGGTAAATATTATGTTATGTCAGTTTTATTAACATTGTTCCATGATCGATTTTTTTAGCAATTATTAAATATAATCAAAAGTAATCCACCTAATAGGCAGGTCACCCCTACAAGCTCAAACTCTCTAAAAGCATACAACAAAATTTGACAAGAACAAAGTTTGGTCGTTGGCCAGTGGGGTAGGGAAATCCAGGAGCTCTCCACTCCGAGCAACTGTCGCACCAAAAATGAGCTCCCTGAACTCTGCCTGAACTTCTGTTTTATAGCTCTCCACCACCAGCAGCCAATCATAGCCTAGGCCACATTAAAATAGGAGCCTATGGGATAACAGAAAAGAACAGAAGAAAACAGGACAAAAGAAAAAACATATGCAATTTGCAGCAAAAATAAATAAACTTTAGCCGAATTTTTTTTTTTTTTATCAATATAGATGTGACATGTTTCAAAAAGTTTACAATCTGTTTTATTAACATTCTTCCATGTGTGATTTTTGTTAGATATTTAGCAAATTTGGATGTGATGTATTTCAGGAAGTTTACAATCTGTTTTAATAACATTGTTGCATGATTGATTTTTTGCTATTTTAAGTTTATTTATTTTTTTGTCAGATTTTCAGCGAATTAAGATATGACTCATTTTAGAAAGTTTATAATATGTTTTATTAACATTGTTCCATGATCAATTTTATTTATTTTTTTTGTGATTTTTGGCTGATTTTGAGTAAATTTAGACGTGACACATTTCAGGAAGTTCACAATCAGTTTTAATAACAATGTTCTATGATCGACTTTTTTTTTGCGATTTTTGTCAGATTTTCAGCTACTTTATTTCAGGAAGTTTACAATCTGTTTTATTAACATTGTTCCATGATTAATTATTATTATAATTTTTTTGCTATTTGGTCAGATTTTCAGTGAATTTAGATGTGATGCATTTCAGGAAGTTGTACTGTTCCTTTCAAAATGACTTTTAATCCGGGCTTGACATTAACACCTGCCTAATGCGGGTAAATTTCCGCTCTGGCAGGTTAGACAGCCACATCCACTAGCCACTTTGGCTGGTTGAAAATCGTTTATAAATTGCCAGCGCTGGCTTTGTCAACATGCGTGCAAATGTGAGCTTAGAATCAAGAAGGAGCACGACTGATTGTTTGCGCAAGCAAAATTAAGCTGGTGAATACCAAATGAGAGGATGATCAGGCACACAATCAGACACAGGCGATCCTGACGCACTGATGAGGGCTTTGTGTCACTCGCACAGATGATGTGAAGTGCATGAGTGCTTCAAAGCTCCCTTGTCTCGTTTCCTTGTGCAAAACAACTATGCCTGAAAACGCAACTGGTTCCTCTTTGAAATAGACTGGAAAAAACTGTGCTTGTGCACCCCCAGTCCTGCTGCTTTCAAGAGCTTAAGATTTTCTCTTCCGCTTTCTCTTTAATCATTCTTTGAACAGATTTATTCATGGGCCTAGCCTTAATTGTATGTGTGCAGTTATCCTTTCACTATCACACACAGTATGTTTTACACATCTTTTGCTTAGTTATTTTTATTACAGTTTTTTACAATGGCCATGACAGTTTTTCAATACATTTAATGCTCAAAATCACACATTGTAGACTAAACCTCTAAACTACTTTTCAAAATACAATATTATACTAACACAATACACCATGTCTAACAAAACACAGCAAACATGTTTCAAAATGAAATAATGAATTAAAACACTAAAACATGCTCTCTTCCATCAGAAACGTTTAGTCAATCATAACATACTGACAATAAAATACTATCATCAGCTAAAATGACAGAAACTGCATTATTTTATGTTTCAGGTCTACCCTTATATTTGATTTTGCATCATAAAATGTAGTTTATGTAAAAAAAAAAATACAGACTACAGTACAGACTTTGTTTGCAAAGGATAACACTGAAAGATATACAAAAAGAAAAGCACCGCAATTATAATAATAAAAAAAAAAACTAAGTTCTGCCCGTTCTTCTGCATTTGACTTCTGTGGCCCGGCACGGTAACTGTGGCCGTTTAGCCTATTATGTTTCTTCTATAGCGACATCCCCAGCCTCGTCAACATAGATAATTCCATGTGGTACTTGATTGGCCTCCAACTTCATGACTCTCTGAAAGTAATTAAACACAGTGTATGCAAATGCTGTACTGTATATCTACTGTTTGTGCTAATGAACTCCAGGTTTATAGAGTAGTTTACTGCAAAACACACTGTGTATAGTACAGACAGTAATGACTGTATTGCATAACCTCATCTGGATGTATTGGTGACAGAGTTCTTTGATTCGCTCACTGTTCCTTTCAGTGTCCTCTTTTAGAACGTATGTTTTTCCGATCACATGATCATCAGTGTGGTTTCTAGATGGGAATCAGTTGTGAGATATATATCTATCTATATATATATATATATATATATATATATATATATATATATATATATATATATATATATATATATATATATATATGGGTGATTCTCACGAATACGTAGTTTAAAAATTTTCAAACATGAATTTTTAAAAAATGTTTAAATTAAATTTTGGTTTTGCAGATAATTGAAACAAAGTCTGGAGCATTTGTCAACATTAATTTAAAAATATATACACATCATGTAGTACCTTTTTGAGCATAATTTCCTAAACAAGTAATAAAAAATCTCATTACCGCAACAGTCTACTAAATTGATTCTTACAAAAAAGCAAATTCATTTAGACATTTTTTTAAAAAGGGATTATTAACAGTGATGTGGAGTTACTTGAGATTCTGCAATAACATTTATTTTTAAATTAACAGGGTTTTTTATTTTTATTGTTTTTTCTCATTACCGAAACACCGTACATTTTTTACAACACTTTTTTTTTATTTATTTTGATAAAACCTGATGTGTTTTCAAAATAATGTGGCTAACCTGAAAGGACATAATTTGTAGATTATGCACATGCATTGAAAAGCAAACGATTACAAAATATTAATAAAATATCACTTAAGGAACATTGGTTGCGGTAATGAGAAATAGGTTGCAGAATTTAGGTTAATCATTTCAACATTGATTTTAAGTATATAATTAGATTTTGTTAAACATTTATTGTAGAATATTAGTGCTTTAAAACATAACTTTAATTTCAAAGAAAAATGTCCACTTGCTTGGATGAGCTGAAATAAATCATCATCCTCACTAGATAGTGTGGTCTCTAGTACAGCTTTAACCCTCTGGTGTCCCTTGTTTGGGAATCAAATTTGTGAGCTTAGCCAGTTAAAAAGAGATGAACAACTAAAGTACCCACAGTTTTTTTTAGCTTATTATATTTAGCTAAAATGATGTCCGCTACATTCATTCTTCCATAGCGGGACGCCACGCCAAAATTCATCCTGCCACAGCTACATTACAGCTTCTCATTCAAAACATTTTATTGTTTTAATAGCGGGTGATACTCGCACAAAAACATACTAAAAGGTAAGTGAATTATAACAGTGCAAACTTTTTTGTAACCGTAGTAGTGCTGTGCGTCATTCATTTACCCTTAAGGTTATGTGCTGACTGTCTGAATGACAGGTGCATGATGCGTGAGGCCAGCAAACACGACGTATAGCTGTTTCACTTTACTTCAGGACACATTAATATCGCTATGTAGGTCTATTAGAGACATTCATAAATATTCCTAAAAAATCTAATAAATGCTGGAGACATAAACGCACTAAATCGCACTTCAGCAGCATTTATTTGAGAGTGCACAAGAAGATCTGCATGCTCTTGAAGCGGCTTATAGTTGAGGGGGTGTGCAAGAAGAAGGGGATGTGCACGAGCAGAGGAAATCGGCATGCAAGCAAAGAGATCCCCATGCTGTAGGCTATTACATAAATGCGATCTTGACTTCTAATGCTGCGCTTATGACATTTGTCATTGAAATAACGCCACAGGTTGTTGATAGATTTGTGTAAAAGGCCTGCCGCCACAGCTGGAAAAAAACCTAGAGGAAACACTGTAATATTTTTATTATTTTGCATTTTGTTTGGGGGGATTGTGGTAAAAATGTATATTTATGTAGTAATTAACATACATTTCCCCTATTGAAAACAATGGAATTTTTGTAATTTTTATTTTTAATTAAGTTTAAATTAGCGCTGTATTTCCGAGTAGGGTCTGTCGGCGGACTGCAAGACAGGGGCATAACATGAAGGGGTCATAACTCGTAGTAGAGGCAGAATTTAAAGTCATGGAGACCCACATGTCACTCTATGTTGTCGGCATGATGGCGATGAACTCATCAGTTATTAACATCTACACCTACTCCATAACTAAACCCAACCATCACAGTGATTAACGCCTATACCTACCATTTGGTGAAAATGATCTCTTGTAAGTATTTCCACCATCTTGCCAACAAAATCTCGTTGTGACATCTCACATAGTTCAATGGGATCTCCATTACTGCAAATTGCGCCTCTCTAACTTACTACAAGTCACGCACCTTAATGTTACGCCTGTCTTGCAGTCCACAGACAGATACACTTGGTATTTCCAGGTAAATGGAAGACTGCCATTTGAAAACAAATTCAAAAAGAAGATTAGCACCCTCTTTTCATGCAATGACACGGTGCAAACACTAGGTTCTAGTATTACTATCTCTACAATGCTGCTTGGGAATTCCTTTCTAGAGAAGCTAAAATACTTCTTTCTGACAAGGTTTCGATATTTGTTGTTTGACAAAGTGATTTGAGGTGTAAAGTTTTGTATTTTGATTACCGTAAAAACTACATATGGCAATAAAGAGACTACACAAAAGCTTAACATTTTGTATGATGCAGTGTGTTTGTTTTTCCCACTTAGCATCTTTTTCCAAAATCATGGTGATTTAGGATTTTTGCAAACAAAATATTTTAAAATTGTTCATAATTGACATATTTGGTTATTTTCTCTTTCTCACTCTGGGCTCTATTTTGACGATCCATGCACAAAATGCAAAGCGCAGGGCGCAGACGCATTCAGGGCGTGTCAGAATCCACTTTTGCTAATTTAAGGATGGAAAAATCCGATTTGCGTCGTAATGCATGATCTAATAGGGAAACCTTTTATATGACGTCAATTAGCCTGTAAATAATTAATTTTGTTTGTTAAGCGCAAAGATTCTTTTCAAAACTATTTCTAAATTCAGTTCTAATTTCCAGCAAACGAATAAATGAACAATAATAATGAAGTGTGGTCAAAAACCCAAGTTATATCCTAATACACATGATGTGCCCCATATGGTCTAAAACCTGACAGGTGGGCAAATCTAAGCTTGTTTTTAATAAAACAAATATAAATATGTAGATAATAATTAATACTGCTAATGATAACATTATACAAAAGAAAATTATTATGAATGAACTGAAAAAGCCTCCCGAGATGAAGAAGGCATGAAAGTAGTTTTTTTATATTTATGTAGGCTAGAAAATAATGTTTTGTAATTTTTTACATTTTACTTTGTTCTGGTCTATTGAAAAATCTATTATAGTTTCTCAAAATAGCACCGCGCCAGCAATGCTCTTCAGAACGCGCTTTTTAGAGCAGAACGCCTAAGGGCGCACATAAGAGCGCAAATGCATTTGCTATTTAAACAGCGTGGCACAAAACCTCAAAACGACTCCTGCACCAAGCTGAAACTAGCAAACAACAATTGCGTCATGCCTTTCCCCACATTTCGCCAGGTGAATAATAGGGCCCCTCTGTGTGTGTCTGTTTGTGTGCATGTATGCGCATTTGTACACTGCGTGTGTGCAGATCAAAACTAAATTATTAACTTAAATGATTAGATTTCCTAACACTGTAGAGTGTTTCTTTTAGTAATTACACCTGCTATGCCATCTCCAAATCTAACCTCTCTCTTTCTTTCCTTCTATACTCCTCAAGTAGTTCTGGGTTGCTGTACAATTTTTTCCAACCTGGCTTTTGCTAAAGATTTTATTTTTTTCATTGCTGACTGTTTAAAATGAAACAAATCAAAACAAAATATAAACAGTTAGTACATTTAAAATTAACATTAAATTTAAAATTAACATTAAATTTAAAAGAGTTATTTGAATTTAGTATGCAATTTTACTTAAATTCTCATTCCCAAAACACCTGTTCTCTCTACCGCAACTGTCCCTAAATAGTTGCGGTATATGAGAAAAAAAATTGCGGAGAATGAGGTGCCTCAATATGTTTTGCAAATAATAGGGAAGCTATGATGATTTAAAAAAAATTCTCAGTGCATATAATTGTATTATGTTAATATAGAAAACTACCTGATTCGGTAATGATAATCAAAAAGTCGTGTAACCATTTTGACAGAAGAAAATTTTACATTAAACTGGAGAAATATAAAAGATTTTCTTTCCTGGCAGTCATATTAAAACAACTGCCCCATGTGCTTCTTTATACCAAATTAAACTTTATTTAAACTCTTTATGTGTGTTTAAACAGCACTTTAAAATGGTTGCGGAGGATGAGAACATCTGTCACGGACACCTAATTTTTCATTTTTTTCTAATTGTCATTATACATGAATATTCTGTAAACTATTTGTTTTGTCATGTAAGATAATCTATTAAAACAACTCATTTGTTCTTATTCAAAAAATTTTATGCTAATTTGTTTAAATTACAACATAACACACATTCAAACATGCATGGACACGTTTCGTAATGAGAATTTCAGTAGAAAATGCAGTAAAATGATTAAAAATAAATAAATTATGTTGAAATTCCACATTGTGCTTCGTAGAGAACAGCGTTGTCTTTATTATAATGTTTTTTTGTTAACAAATTACTAAGTTTTATATTTAAAATCTTAAGTGCCACGTTGTTTTACTGGTTTCGTGAGAATAACCCATATATATATATGTATGTATGTATATGTATGTATGTTTGTGTGTGTGTGTGTGTGTGTGTGTGTATATATATATATATATATATATATATATATATATATAAATTGCAATTAGCAATGGAAAACAATACAGGTAATATATTTCTGTTTTAATTCACAATATGGTCAGCTGTTCACTTTGACTTTGGCCTATGTAAGTTCTGTTTAGATCATGATGTTATCTGTTCTGACACACTGTGTGAAAGCATTAGAAAATTTGATTGTAGGATTAGATTGTTTTGGTTTTGGTTGTGTTTGTTTGTAAAATAATTTTAAGCATTTTGAATTGGTATTAACTGGATGTATTTTGTGTCAAAGCAGCAAGAAATGTGTTAATTGTATAGGCCACAAAGATGGATGTTGTTAAGAGTTTAGGAAACTTTGTTAAATGTGTTGAAGAAACTGTCATGGCCATTGTGAAAAACTGTAATATGGTTTAATTACCATCCTTTACAATAACATTGTAAGTAGTTATGTAGTTAACTGCTGTTCTTGGACCTTCTGCCAGGACAGGCCAGTGTGTTTTAGATAGATGAGAATAATTAAAAAAAAATGTAAATAGATTTTTAAGAATTTTTTGTTGAATACAAAGTGTATATATATATATATATATATATATATATATATATATATATATATATATATATATATATATATATATATGTATATATATATATATATATTAGGGGTGTAACGATACACCAAAGGCACGGTTCGGTTCGGTTCACGGTTTTGGAGCCACGGTTCGGTTCGGTACGGTTCGGTTTCTGTTTGCTGTGGGGTTAGGGTTGATGACATGTTAACAGCAATGCTAAGAGACAATTCACTTAATAAAAAGAACATCTTTACTTTTTCTTTATTAACTTTGTCATCACATTTTTAGTACAGTCAGGATAACTGAGTAAACAACTAAAATTAAATAAATACCTCCAATATAGACTAGTCAGAAAAAAAATTATTCTCTTTAGTGCAGCCATCTTAACTAAGTAAACTAAAATTAAATAAATGACTGCAGTGTAGACTAGTAAAAGATCTTCTTCAAAAACACCATAATATCCACATTCTCCGATGAGAGACTTGATCGCTGTGCAGACACAGACGCTCATTTTTGATTATCTATGGTTTCAGTTAGATAGATAGGTTTCCGTTTAAATTAATGAAAAAATATACATAAAATGTGTTTGTAAAGTGTTTTTACAAGACATATTCACCAGTAAAATACATTGCGGTTGTGTCTGAAACTAATGTTAGGGTTGATTGCTATACATATTATTTAAACTTTTTGGCAAGGAAAAAATTACTAGAGAGTTGTAACTTGGTGTAACTAGAGAGAAAATTAGTAAATCCTTAGTGTTGAGCCCTAAAAAGTCATGTGAAATAAAACTAATTGCAATGTGATAATATGAAACTCCAACACATTTGCTCATCCGCATTGAGCAAGGTCAAAACACACAATGAAGTGAAATGAGGAGGCATGTGGACATACCACATAATTTAAATCAAGTATTTTTTATCATGACAGTCAAATTTAGGCATATAAAATGTATTTTCCCAAAAATGAAATTATGACTAGTGAAAATTGTGAGTGGTAACATGGGAAAACTAATAGCCACAGTGGCTGGTGATCAAAAAAGTTAATGTCAAGCCCTGCTTCTAATGTAACAACAAAAAAAACAAAAACAACAAAAAACCTGAACAGATGTAAAATGACATGAACAGTGAGAAAATAGTCTCAGATTAAATTTTTAAGTGATACAGTAATACAAAACTTACCTTTATTGTATGTTTTTTCTAAGCTCGGCCTGAAATTGACATAACCGTGAAGGAGGAAGTTGTGAACAGGACCGTCTACCACGCTGTCACTTGTTCAGCCTTCAGTGCCAAGCCAGAGGCTGTGATTAGATGGGAGATCGCTGGTGCCCTTCCAAGAGATGACATCTTCTCCACGAACACCACTAATGCAATTCATCCCAATGGCACAAACAGTTCTGTCAGCGTACTTCACTTCCCCCTGATTATGAATAATGAGAGCACAGTTACCTGTGTGGTAGAGCATCCAGCGTTTACCGAGCCTAAAAGAGTCAGCATTGAGGTTGACACATTTGGTAAGTTCTTTTCTTTAATCGCTATTCATAAAAGCGGGAATGTTTCTGAAACAGAAGACAAAAAAAAGCAGAACTGAGAAATACCATTGGTGTTCCCTTATTGTTTACTCTTCGCGCCAATATTGCACATGTTTTTGTGGTACTACCATATTTGCAGCAGCCCTCTGACCACAAAGTACTGAAGCCACAGTACTGAGCATGTTCCTTTTACAAAACTGAAAAAAGTCAATGGCTGTTTTTTCCATAAAGTTATTACAAAACAATATAAAAAACAAACATTTTTGTTTTAGCAACTGG